TAATCGGTATCTCCAATGTATGTCCAATGTGCACTAACTGCATATGGTTGAAAGTTAGTCGACATATATATGTACTGTTATATTACATACAATAAAAATGCACTAGGTAGTAGTTATCCCAATTATTTAAATTTTATTTATATTATGTTATAAGTACTCGCCCAAAGTTTCATGCAGACATATAATTTATATTCTATTATTGACCTTAATATAAGATTCTGAGTGGAACGATAAATGTATTGATTTTACAATGATGTCTGTTTTTACATTATTTTTTTTTATTTTTTATTTTTATTTTTTTTTGTGTCTGTGTACACGATAAGTAGTCGAAATAATGCTTCGATTTTCAACTTCAGTATCTTGTTCAATTGGAAAGTGAATATTGTTGGTGCATTGGGAGGTCAAAATTTAAAATTTCCAATAGTTTTCACAAGCGCCGGGAAAAACAACATAAAAATTAAGGAAAAATGGGAATTATTACGCAAAATCTGTTTTTGACCAATTGAATTTGGTTTTTGGTGTAACTTTAAAACAAGTGACCGTAGATGATGTATACATGTATACATGACATTTTCACTGGTTGTTTATATTTGCATTTTCTATACAAGATAACATTTTCAAAATATTTTGATTAACTGTTTAAGGACATTTTCATTTTCCATTTTTTTTTAGTTTTTTTTCTAAAAATATCAATAAAATTTTATTTGTTGGTTAAATAAGCTTGAAAGTTTAATAGAAGGCTCCTAGTATTTTGTTTCAAAGGCAGATGAAAAATATTAAAAATCCTTAGTCACAGTTTTTTTTTATAAGCATTTAAAGTTCAAAGAAAGGACAAAATATGGAAAAATCACAAAAATTAGCTAATTATTTTGAGTTAAGAATTCGTAGAAATTTTTCTTTTTAAATCTAATATTTGAAGATGTAATACAAGTTTACTTATAAGTTTTTCTACCTTTATCAATAAAAAAATCTCTACCTGAAAGTCAAATTACATTTTTATGAGCGTTTGAAATTAAAATGTTTACAACATTGGATATTCACTCGATTTCTCAAGTAGCGATTTCCTTATTTTGTTGTAATTCATAGACGAATAACTGTAAACACATGAAAATTTATTTTCACTGAATGTTTATACTAGCATTTCCTATACACCATACAATTTTGAAAATATTTTGACTGTTTTTGAGCTGTTTACGGACATTCACAGTTTTCAATTTTTTTATTTTTTTTTCTATAAATATCAAAAAGTTTTATCTGTTTTTCCAAAAAGTGTAAAAATGTAATACAAGGTTCCTGATATATTGTTACAATAACAGTTGAAAAATATTAATAATACATAGACACTATTTTTATTTATAAGCATTTAAAGATCAAATTTTGACAAAATACATCAAATTTAAAATTTAATAATTATTTTGTAGTTAAAAATTTATAAAATGTTCAACTTATTCGTGGGTACTTGAAACTTCTAAAGAGTACTATTATATACAGTGGCGTGGTGAATGGGGTTTTATGACGCCTAGGCGTCATGGTGAATTTTTTTTTTTGGGGTGGGGTGGTTGGGTACATTATGGTAACCAATAACATACAACAAAAATTAAAATATTAACAGTTCCATAATAATTATATGTATTATATATTATATTAAGGGGATAAAGAAGGGGTAGGTACTGAAATATATGCTGGGCATCAAGGTTTATAAATGTTCACCACGCCACTGATTATATATCTATATAACGCGTTATACATCAACAACAAACCGCGATATTATCAGAGCTGGGGGTCGTTCTCCGACAAACATACATTTGATAACATAATGTAACCTCAAACATTTTCCAATACCAACATAATTTGAATTAAATTGATATTAGGGAAATTTTGTACCAATTATACCGCCGTACTTGTCGGAGTATCGGACTATTATTGCTTAAAATATATTAGAAAAGTGCACAATTAAAAATAAATCAATTGTGTTCTTGTAGAATTAAAGACTATAAGATAAAATTAAAATTGTACATAAATTGCATGTACATGGTTATTGCTTAGTCTATATCATTCCTCTTGAGCTTTGAAAATTGTATGTGGTTTCACTTCATATTGAGAATTATCGTGCAAATATATTACTATCCAATATGAATAGAGATCATTTAGATGAACATAATTACTTTTTGCATCTTCCTAATGTTCTTATTTTAGAATCATCGTGTAGCGATGAATTTATTGGTTTTACAATGATTATGTGTGTTTTATTGTCAATAAGCATAATTTAAAAATTTTTATTACCTATTACTATAATTATTATTATTAACATTTAACATATTAACATTTTATGATAATTTTATTGTATTATCTAATATCTATGCTTACCTACATTTTTTAACAATTGAATTACCTATTTATTTTATATTATTACATTTTTCAATATTTATTGAATAACACGTTTTATAAGTTGTATTTTAGAATCATCGTGTATCGATGAATTTATTGGTTTTACAATGATTATGTGTGTTTTATTGTCAATAAGCATAATTTTAAAAATTTTTATTACCTATTACTATAATTATTATTATTAACATTTAACATATCGTCAACCCGGGCGACTTGGAACTGGGAGGTGACTTGGAACAATTGTGTTATTTTTTGATAACAGCGTTCAATTTTATGCTAGATAAGGGCAATAAAATTCTGCTTCCACAAAAATATTTTTTGGAACGTTTTGTAAAAGTTTTGTTATCATCAGAAAAGTGTTATCTCTTATCAATAAGCCATGTGATACAACCATAATTTAATAAGAAAAATCCAAATTTTCAACCCCTAAATTAAGAGCTTCGAAAGTGTTAAGGCGCCTTCACAGCTCCCCGTGAAACGTGATATATTCTAGAACTGTGATTGGTTGAACCATGTGGTTATCTAATGGTTAACCATAATTTTTTTTCATATAATACCTTATCTATACCGCTTATACCGTATAGTTGAGTTCAATCCTACTCAGAGCGTGTGTTTACCGTATGGTTGACAGTCGTGGTTAAGAATATTTTTACGGGAACAAATTATATATTATCACGTTTCACGTTTCACGGTGAGCTGTGAAGGCGCCTTTACTTCAGCTTCAAAAATAAAATTATTGTTATTTTTTAGTGAATTCCTAATGTGTGGTTAGTGTTAATCGTTAAGTAGAATTTGGAAATAATATTAAATAAAATTTTTTAGAGTTGTTTTTATTTTCCGTAAAAAATAAGTTGGTTACTTGGAACATGGGTCCTAGGTCCCTATATTACTTTTTACCGACATTTTTCGAAATTTTTTTTTTTTGTTTACAAAGTTTAGTTTTATATATATCTTGGTTAGCTTTATTTTAGGAGCAAAGACTGCAACTTACAAAAAAAAGTATTATTTGGTAATAAATAGGTACCTAGTTGTAAAAATAATGTTAATTAGTTTTTAAATTAAAAAAATATGGTTTTTAACCCTTTTAAAAAAAAAAAAATGGTAGCGTTCCAAGTGACCTTCCACAAATTATTAAATGCAATCTGCATTTGAAAAAACGCATGTTCCAAGTCACCCAAAAATCCGGGTGACTTGGAACAAACACTTTTTATATTTTTTTTACCTTAATTTACTTAAGACCTTTATTTTTTTTTTTTGCTCAATCTATTCCTTGGAGGAGTGCGACACTGCATAATTTTTTACAGAATTTAATTATCAATAATGAATGTGTTACAGTAGTGAAAAGGTGAAAATTGTTCCAAGTCACCCGGGTTGATGGTACTAACATATTATTATGACAATTTTATTGTATTATTTATGGTTATATTTTTTAACAATTGAATCACCTATTTATTTTATATTATTACATTTTTCAATATTTATTGAATAACAAGTTTTATAAGTTGTTCGATGATTATGTGCTATAATACCTTACAGTAGAAAAAAACTTCATAAGTTACTTGATACTTGTTAGTACTTTCAGCTTTGATATTTGTAGGTTGTAGTGTTAATATGTTGTACATGTTGAAATATACAATTAATATGTAGTACATGTAGTCAGCCTTGACACGTGTGTACAATATAGTAACTAGTTATGTACGAGCATAAGACACACTCTCTTCACGGATGTAACATGACCTCGGTCGTGCATATATATAGGGCCTTTGATGTATGTAATATTCACTTGCACAGGCGTCGTTGTACAGAGCGTATACGATGTGTGTGTACTGTCACAGTTTAATTGTCCAGTTGTACGTTATTATATATTATACTTATACATAATCATATTGTCGTGTTATTACTTATTATATTAATGCTAACATCATTAGTCCGTCAAGCTTCACTTTCAACAGTACACATGATTTTTTTTAAGTAGTAGTTTTATAAAAATAAGTTTTGATATTTAGTTCTTACAGTTGGTCACCCTGACTGACGGAGTAAAAATTGGTTGTTATCATTTGTCGGAGAACGGCCCTCGTCCGTTATAAGTACCCATTGGATATTGTGATAACAGAACTTTACCTAATGCTTGAACAACGCATTCAGATAACAGAGGGGATAAACCCACAAACCTACGTTTTTAAAAAAGCAGAACAGATCTTCCCCCAACCACCAACAACCCGGACCAAGACAACACATACACCTGGAAGCAGCCAAAAAGGGAACCAACAAATCGATAAAGAACAACAAAAAACCCAAGACAAGGGAAAACCCCAAATCAAAACGGGGAAAACCCAACACCCACCACTAGCTTATTAGAGCGGACACTAGCAGAGATCCTAGACTGACTAAAGAAACTAGAGACAGGAAGATTTTAGGAGCAGTGGAAGACCTGACAGAGCGAATTAAAAAACTTTAAAACCCCGAAAACGAAAAACACCGGGAAAGTTTCCAAGAAAGTGAAAATAATGAAACCCAAAGAAATCAACCCGGGAAAGAACAAAATCGAGGTTAAAAAATCAAAACTCCCTAGTATGATTTAAACAAGCAAAAGATAACGGATACGACACGTATTACGAGTCACAGGGTTTTCCCGAACTTAACAACAGGGGAATACCCAATGTGCACTGAACGCCGTTCCCAACCCAGGGGACAAGTCCAATGGTCACCACAAGCATCACAAACGTAATCACAGCAACGTCGTGTACCAACACCAATACCAGAGTACAAAATCCACCCATAACCGGCCACTTGGAAAACCAGAACCACTGAGTGGAATTTCCCAACAAGGACAACACAAAAAACAAAGGTCCACATATTACAACGTACAGGGAAAACCCAACCGAACGTTGAACCCAACCGAATGATACGGGAGTCAAACCTACTACCACGTGAAAACCTATAGGCATCTGTTATGAATTGGTATTATTAAACATAGGAAATAAGCAAGGATTTAATAGTTAGTAAACAGATTAGAAATGTAGTATTTATAAAACATGGAGAATTACGAAAAGAAATGATTATTGTAAATTAGTATAAACAGGTACAACAAGGGACGCTGATGGAACCCAAAATCTCACGACAACGATGGATAAAAGTACTGGCAACACAACTCAAAGGAGACGCTGGAACATGGTGGGGAAGAATAAGAGCGATCGACCCCACTTGGGAAGAATTTCACGAACAAGTTCAATGGACCACGAGTCTCCACACAGGACTTATGGGGTGGAAACAAATAAACAATCCTATGGACAATCTACAGGGGACTTTGTGTTGCAAAAAATTCAACTATTCTGAAGACTAAACACCAGCCTGGACGAAGAAAACGTTTTGGAGACCATCACTAATGAGACCAGATCATCAAAATTTAATACGTTTGCAAAAACCAAAAACGTTTATGAAACTCAACGTACACGGTGGCAAACCAAACCCAAAAGAGAGGGAAAAACCAGAAACCGAAAAACCAGAGGTAAACCCACCAATTCTGGAAATTTACGGAATTCATGGAATTCTGGAATACCACGAAGTTGGGAAACGGAAAAATGGTGGGGGAAAACCCACCGACCAAAAAGTAAAAAACCTAACACTCAAACAAGACAGCAAGGAAAACGGTCGCAGGGAAAACCCCCACACCGCAAATAATAAAATCGAAAACCGAGGGAAAAAAGAAAACACACTGTTCGCAGTTACAACAATGGAACACCAGCAACCACTCACACTGATTAAAACACAAAACCTCGGGTCAGTGGCACAGAGAAAACCAACACCAACAGACAGACCTACACCATCAGTGGAAATGAAATTCCCAGACGAAATGGTCATCATTGTTGGACTCACAAGCGGAAAAAACGTACATACGACTATGGATAGCCGATAAATACGGAAAACATGTAGACAAACGCAAAATAACCGTGAGAATGGCCGACGGACACGCCCGGGAAACGGACGGAAGATGCTGGATAGAGGCAAAAATCGCAACACTACAGCTGGTATTCAAAGCGGAAATACTAAGTGGCAGACATCTTGATAGACCTTGACTTTTTAACGCAACAATAGGCAGCGTGGGACTACAACGCGGCCATTATCCCCCTAGGCCCAGAGAAACGAACAACGGTCAGCTGGCGTAGACAACCAAACCCAACAAGGGAAAAAACCCAATCTCACAGAACTGGAAATCCCAAACGGACCCAGCAGGGGAAAAACGGAGCTGATATCGAGTATGATCCACGGTATGGAGGAACAAGGGATGATAGAACCGAGCATTTCACTGTGGGCAGCACCAATCGTCCAAATCATCAAAAAAAGAACTTTTAACAATAATATTTTAGGTTCAATAGTTTACAGTAGTTGATTTACAATTTGACATTCATTTTACATTTAGTTAATTAAACATTTGATTTTACTTTTATCAATTACAATTATATTTATAATTTAGTGATATTTACAAATTTAATATCATTTACATATATATTTTTTTATATAGTGAGAAAACATTTCTTTTACCTGAAATTTAAATTAATTAAAAGATTTTTAAGTATTAAAATAATGTTAGTTAATTATATAATATAAATTTTCATTCCCCTGTGATACAATTGTATTTAATATTTATAATCCTTCACCAATTAATGTTAAATACTATAATATGTTTATCTGGGTGAATAATATTAAGGATTTATTACGTACGTATGCGAAATATGAATTAAATTTGAACTATTTAGGGTAGTCGGGTATATAAATTGAATTTGTCGTGTTTTCTATTATTTTAAGTAATTTTTTACATTCACCGTTACAATGATCATTCATAAAATGCTCGATGTTTCTAGTTATCTTATTCAATGTTTTAAGATCGTATCGTTCATTTAATCGTTTGTTGGCCTTCAATATGTGCCAGTTAAAACATACTGACTGCATCTTATTTTCTTTAATGTTATATATATATGTACTTCTGTGCTCAATATTTTTTTTAATTCTTCAATAAATCTAAAATAACATATCCGTATTAAATCTAAGTAAAAATTCTTAAATAATATTATCCCTTCACCCTGAAATAATAATTATAAAATATATTTTTTTTATAATTTTTTTTTATTCTTCGAATAAGTGATCAATAGATATAATCCGTCGAGCGATAGTATCTTCTAGTATTTTCCCCACTTCTATGCACACGGATCTCTCCGCGTTCGGATTAGTAATTACCGCGTGAACTGGTATCATTGCCCTGCTTAATATGTATGGGTTCAATGGCATATCCATTTTCCGGTTTGCTTCGTGAACATGTCGCCTAAAGCAATCTATACGAACACTATTCCCTCGTACATATTGGTGGTGAGGGCCATTTAATAGTTCTTTCTCAAGTTTTTGAAAGAATTCGACTGTCTGTAGTGTTAGTGGGTACTCCGCCGATAGTGGCGTTTGTTCGCTCATGATGTATTATATGCCTTTATATATATTTTTATTTATTTTCGTTTATTGTTTTTCTTCTTATATTTATATGAAAACAGTTAAATTTATTTAGTACTTATTTATTTTTCTACGTTTTATTGCATTTATTTTGTATTTATTATTTATATTTATTAATATATTACGTATTATTTTGTTTTGTAAGTTTTATATTATGATTTATTTTATGTGTTTATTTATTATTAATTATTTATTTACTAGTGTATTACGTATTTATTTTTTTGTTTTGTACTTTTTATATTATTTTTATATTTTTATTGTACCTATTTGTTCGAAAAGGTGGTCGGAAAGTTCACGTCTAGAAATCAATCGATCTAATTCTTCACTTATAATTAAACATATTGGTATTATTGATCTAGTTGGGTGTATAATATTACAAATTGGTAGAAGATATTCAGTTAATGGAATCATCACTAATCTAAAAGTACAAATTATAATTATATTAAAATAAACTATTTATATATTATACATTTTTTAATCGACTTGTACGTCGTTGTAATATTTTTTAACATTATTTCTGTGAACAGTAATGCCTCGCCGTCCACGTTGTATAATTACGTTTTCGTTTCCCACTACTGCTGTGACCTCGTACGGTCCTAACCATATTGGATCGAGTTTTGTTCTGTGATTATCATCTTTTAATAACACTAAATCTTTTCCATGTATTTCTTGTGGATTTTCATTTTTATTGTATCTTTCCTTACTTTTTATTTTATTCTTGATTAATTGCTCTCTCGCTATCTTATGCGATATCTGCATGTTTTCTTTTAAATCAAATAGATAATCATCGTAATTGTATCGTGGTTCTAGTTCGGCCTTCAATTTAATCGGTACCTTCAATGTACGTCCGTAAACTAATGCGTATGGTTGAAAGTTAGTAGATGTGTGTACTGTCGAATTATATACAAAGAATGCAAAAGATAATAAATGATAACAATTATTTAAATTATTGTCTACATAATGTCGTAAGTATTCGGCTAAAGTCCTATGAGTGCGTTCAACGGGGTTCCTCTGCGGTCTAAAAGGAATAGTATTAACCTTTTCTACCTTTAATAACTTGCAAACCTCAGCAAACGTTTTACAAAGGAAATTGGTACCTTGATCAGTTTATATCGTTCCCGGTATACCGTGTATACAAACGAAGTGTGTAATAAAGGCTTTTGCTACCGTGTTCGCTTTTTGATCAGGAATTTGGAACCCCCAAAGTGTAACCCAAAGCGTTAAATCGTCCTCCATAGTTAGAATATAAATATTGTTAGACAGTGTTGTCGGAAAAGGCCCTACTATATCAAAGAATATTTTCCTAAAGGGTTTTGAACTTGTAGACGCAATAGCTATTGGTTGTCTGATATGCCGATTTGATACCTTATTCAGACACGATGCACAATTTCTTAAATACCTTTTAACGTCACTTTTCATACCTTTCCATATAAATTGGTTTTTAATGCGCTGAATAGTTTTGTTTATACCCAGATGCCCTCCTAGTGTTGAATCGTGAAACTGTTTTAAAATAATCAATTTTTCTTCCTCAGTATATTCTATACCTGCGCATATGATTATTTCTACACTGATTTTGCGAAATATTTATCGCAACATTGATCTTATTTTTCCCCATTCTAAATCATCGTGTTCAGCTAAATTGTTCATGGCTAGTTTAGTTAACTTGTTTTCTTTGCATAGTAAGTTCAAATTCATTAACGATATGTACATATTTTCGTAAGTCGATTTCTATCGGTCTTTATTTTTTCTTACTAAGAATATTATGAATCTGTTTTCCTGTTTGTAATAAGGCGTATCCCCTATTACTTTACTGGGTGGTAGACGGTAGTATTATTCTGTTTCCAAACTGTTTTTTTAATTTATTCCTGTCCTGTCCTGTTTCTTTTACATTATTATTTGTGATAAGCTGTGTATTGATTTTTTCGAGAAATTGTACATATGATTCGCCCTTTATTTCCTGAATAGTGTACCTACGCGTAAGTGCATCTACATTTGAGTTTAAAATGCCCTTCTTGTAATGTATTTCGTATTCATATTCTTCTAATTGTATTCTCCCTCTTGCAAGTTTTGATAATGGATTTTTCAAATTAAAAAGCCATGTTAATGGGCGATGGTCACTAAGTATTTTAAATTTCCTGCCGTATAGATATGGTCTGAACTGTTTTACCCCAAAAATTATTGCAAGACATTCTAATTCAGTTGTTGAATAGTTTCTTTCACTTTTATTTAATGTACGCGATGCATAATATTGATTTAAAAAGAGAAACAACATATTTTATTCTTCAAAACGTAAACTTTATTATAATGCACCTTTTATAATTAATAAGAAACAATAGAAAACATCATGACACCATGATCGGTCCATAGTCTATACTTGACTGCGTAGCGCATTGAAAAGGAAAAATTAATAATAATAACATAACCTAGAAAATAGATTATAACAATAAAGGAATTGTGTCTAACTTCAACACATAACAAATTGGAAAATCTTTACCTATTTCACCTTGAAATAAAATGGCTCCAGGCGCCTTGTTGCTCGCGTCCGTAGTTATTAAGAATGGCCTTGTAAAATCTGGATATTTAAGTAACGGTTCTGAACATAATGCTATTTTTAATGTGTCCAACGATTTTTGACATTCACTACTCCAAATGAATTTATTATATTTATTATTTATTAGTTAATGGCTTTGCTATTGCGCTATACGAATTTATGAATTTCCTGTAATAACCACTTAATCCTAAAAATGATTTTATGTTTTTCACAGTTTTTTTTTCTGGGAATTCTACTACTGCTTTTAGTTTACGTACATCTGGTTTTATTCCGTCTTTTGTAATTACATGACCTAGATATACACATTCTCTCTTCAAGAAATTGCATTTGTCTGGTTGTAACTTTAAACTGTTGACTCGCAATCGTTCAAAGACGTCTATTAAATTTTCATTATGATCGTATAGATTTTTCCCATATACAATTATATCGTCTAAATATACTAAGCATTTTATTAATATTAAACCTGATAGAGCTGAATTCATAAATCGTTGAAAAGTTCCGTGACTTGTCTTCATCCCTTGAATCATTCGTTTGAAATGCCAGTGACCTTGATTAGTTGAAAATGCTGTTAGTTCTCGTGAATCCTTTTCCATCTTAATCTGATAAAAACCGCTTGAAAGGTCCAGTAAAGAGAATAACTGGCTGTTGCCTAGCTGATATAGTATTTCCGATATATTTAGTAAAGTTTGAAATTCATTTATGGTCACTTTATTGAGTGCTCTGAAGTCGACTACCACTCTGAACTTTTGTTTACCTGAATTATCCATCTTCTTTTGTACTAATAGCAATGGGGAGTTCCATGGACTCTTTGACTTTTCAATAATTCCGTTTTCTTCCATTTGTTTTATTTGTGCATTTATTTCGTCTTGTTGTGCGTGTGGTAGCTTGTAAGGTCTACGATATATGGGTGGTTGATCCTGTTTTAATCTAATCGAGTGTGTACCCGTATTTGTAAAAGTTAAAACATCCCCTTCCATATGAAATATGCTATTATATCGTACACATATCTCGTAAATAGATTGTTTTTCAGTTTCTTATTTATGTTCGGTTACTATTATTTGCCTTAATCGAGTTATACGTTCATCAAGGTTATCTTTTGTTTCAACAGTATATATTTCATATTCAGTATCATAGAGTATTTTGTTTAAAACGTTTTCGCTTTTATTTTTTGTTTCTTCTGATATATTCATCATGCTAACTATTGCCCTACCGTTGTTAATGATGGACACTGTGTTGCTACAAAATACATCTTTTACTATTTGTTGTTAGTGAATTAAAATATTTATACTCTATATTTATGTCTATCTCCACCAGACTACACTAAGCCTTTCGTCCTACAAACGGACGCTAGCCACATAGGAGTAGGGGCAGTACTATTCCAAAGGGGAGAAACACTGACAAACAGACAAATAATCAGCCATGCAAGTAGAAAACTGAACACAGCACAAACCAACAACCCAGCAGTAGAACGGGAATGCATAGCGATAATATGGGAGGTAGATAAATACAGACCCATACCTAGAGTCGGGGAACTTCTAACTACTGACGGACAATTCAGCACTAAAATGGCTGGAAACAGCAAAACACAACAACAAAAAATTGCTACACTGAGATGCAATTGGAGCCATATAACTACACCGTAAAACCGAAAATGATTCAGCTGATGAGCTGTCAAGGAACCCGCCCGAGGGGTTGGAAGTCGAAAAAGAACTGCGGAAAAATAACGCAATTGAACCACCAACCCGATGGGAAGCTCCACAAAAGACACAACAAACAATTGGAGCCATCACAGGAAATACCGCAGGTGGGGAAACCCACATCACTCGGGAAAAAAAATCAAGGAATGGCAACAAAACGATAAACAAATACAACAGATAATCGAAAAGCACTACAATCACAATACTCAAGCGGAAACACCAAAGGGAAAACCCAGAGATACAAAATGGATGACGGAATCCTCCACAAAGAAACAACAATTTGGCAAACCCCAATGGTAATACCTAGGTCAGCAGCGAATCACGTACTTTTTAAATAAGACAAACAATCAGGATGGAAGGAATTAGGAAACCTACCAGTCAATCCAAAGGAGATACTTCTGGAAAAACAGCAGTTTCGAAACGTCCAAATACGTCAGAAACTGTCACATCTGCGCATGTATCAAACCGGAAAACTCTAAACCATAGGACATTATGACGACAAGAATACCAAGGCAACCCTGGGAAGTACTAAGCATCGACCTGATGTGCCCTACCCAAAAACAGCACGGGGGAAAACCCAAATACTGGTCGTCACGAATTGCTACAGCAAGTGGGTGTAGGCCTACCCAATTGGGACAGCAACCACAATGGTTATAGTCGACACAATCGAAAAGGAATTCTGTTCACGTTTCGGATACCCATACTATTCATACTATCAGACAATGGACCACAGTTCGTATCAAATCTAATGAAGGATACCCTAACCAAATGGGGAACCGAAGCATGGACGACCCTAATATACCATCCACGGGCCAACCCAGTAAAACGGCGAAACCAAGAAATCAAAAAAGAAACAAACAATTACTGGGGATATGGGACATGGGACATGGGTTTTACCATTGATAATGTTCGCCATAAGAAACATGAAAAACCAGAACACAGGCTACCCTCCCACCGAGTTAGTACTAGGCAAAGAAACTAAGACACCGGAGGACTGGTTCCTCCGGGGGGGAGTCAGGGGTAAATCTCCGGACTGGGAAAACCCCTAACCGAACAAACACACCAACAACCACGGCCGGGAAGCCCCAGACACAAAGTAGGCGACTGGTTCTACTACCGGAACCATCCACTATAAAAGGGGACCAAGGCTTCCACGCAGGTTTCGCCCCAAAATAGTTTAAAACCACCAATTAGGCTAAAAAAGTACCTGGGAGGCTGGGTATTCATCACCGAAACCAACCCAGAGCACAAACTACATAGTTCGTGCTTTAAACGCACGAAAGAACCCAATAGTGACTACATTAATTTTACAGATGGCAGGCCAAAATCCGCAGAGGGAGGATCCGGGAAGACGCTTCAACCTAACGAACTCGGACTACTACTCGGCAGGTCAACGGTGGCCGACATCGTTCAGGAGCTGCTGGAAGGCGCCGCAGCCAATCTACTAATGGCCAGGCGCTTGGCCGGACGGGCCGCGGGAATCCCCAAGTGGGAGGAACTGACCCGGACCTGACAAAGACAGAACTACCGACCCATTACCAGGAGTATTTAGACCCAGACCCCAGGAGCAGAGGAGATAGGGGACGCAAATGGGACCATCCCCAACACCCGTTCCAGGGCAGGTGGCGAGGAGGGCAGTAGTGGCAAGACGTGGACATCGATAGAGACGCCGTGGACGTTCAGATAACGACCACGACATACCCACCTACCGAGTCCGCGAGACGCGCCTAAGCAACAGGGCTAGTCTACTGGGAGGATGACCGGTGTCACCTCCATGGCTTTATCCACCGCTCCACCACGGCCAAGCTGCTGCTCCACTGGCTGTTATACCGGCTGCTGCACCGTTGGCCGCTGAAACCGGCCACGCCCATCCCGGATGTTGTGGCGCTGGTATACCGGCGGTGCTCGGTGAGGTGGCACCCACCCTGATGGTCCTGCTCTAGGCCTGGCGGCTTTGGGCTGTGGGGTTTTCGCTCGAGTGGATCGGCGTCCCTCGGCAAACCCCCACCCGAACAACACCCATGCAGTTGGGCTTGCCCGTATCCGGCCGAACGATGCGGTGTCCGGAGCTTATCCACATGAGTGGCAATCATGCCACGGGATGGCCGATTTTTGCGGGTCGGTGGCGGATGATTTGCTCGTTCTGCCATCCAAAACCAAGGTATGGTTAGTTAATGTTCTCTGACAGTTATACAGCCCACTTCTTCGCTGAGACATGTAACTTAGTAGGGTGTTTACCCTCCGTCGAAAACACTCCAGTTCCTAGTAGCTTACCAACTTAACCAAACCTAACCATTTCGGGGCGAACCCCCCGTGGAAACGCTTCTCCGCACTTGACTGTTGATGCGCCTTGTAATATACCCAATCCCCGACTGACAGATTGCCTTTTCCCGGAAATTCTGGGGGTACATGGGTACTGGGGGCTTTGGCACTGGACACCACCGGGTAATCCCTCTCTACCCGTGGAGCATCATCCGGTACCACCGGAGAATCTTCGATTTCTACCGAAGGGTTCCGATCTGCTCCGGACAACTATGGACCATTTTTGCCGTCGTCCCGTGACTCTTCAGCCAACTCAAGCTGCCAGTCTCCGGGGGCCTTGATCTCCTGACCAAACATAATTTTGGCCGGAGACTGTCTGGTGTTACGGTTTTCTCTGTTTCTTACTGAGAACAACACGAGTGACAGGTAGACATCCTATAGTAGGGCACTATAGATACATATATGCTACTCCGCCATTTTGCAACTCATTTATGAATTATCAGTTATCACTGAATTAGTCCGTGTTATTTGTTTTTAGTGAAGTTTTCTGTGTTATACTTCTAAAAAACTTAAACTAGATACCTAGTTATTAAATGAAACATTAAATAATATTCTATTGCAAGTAGTAATCTAACAAATTATGAGAAATGTTTGCCGTGATTTCAAGTATTACGTAAGTAGATATTTAATTACATTATGATTATTGATACTTTTACCAAAAATTGTATTTACTTTATAAATTATGTTTTAAAACATTGTTGAGTTCTCTCATTACCTTACTAAAATATACATTTAATTTGCATTTACAGCTAGTTAACTTACATAGTTAAATACACTACTTCTCTAACCGAAGACTGAATATAATTAACAAAGTGTGTTAAAAAAAGTTGCATTAGAAATAAAATATACCTTTTAATTATTATGGTAACATCTTTGTACTAACGCATATTTTTCAGATGAATAATATACAAACTGATGATGCAGATGAAACATTTGTTTCCTATCATGACTTAAATATGGTGAGAAAAAAAGAGCTTCTACTTACTCTAAGACAAGAAAATAAACAACTTAATAACAAATTAAAAATATTAAATGAAGCAATTGATGCTCTTAAAGACAATAATGGTGGAGAGAAAATTACTTTTTATGATGAGGTGGATTTTTTAAGTAATTAGTACTTAGCGGTGTTGTAAAATATTTGAGTAAAAGTATTGAAATAGGTACTTTTTATAAAATTAAATACTTTTTAAAATTGTTTTAATGGTATGTATTTAAATTCAAACATAGAGATTTATACTAAATTGACTATGCATATGGACATCAGTCTTGTAAAAGCAGTGTCATAGCCAGGGGAGGGGAGGAGCAGCTCCCCCCCCCCCACGAAATGTTAAGAAAGTTTAATAATTATTTTAATGGTATATAGTCGCTCAAAAAGCTGGCTACGCCACTGTGTAAAAGATATTTTCTAGAAGCTTTCAAAAATATATATAGATAGTTATTATTAAAATTTAAAGGTATTTAAATACTTTTACTCGAGTACTTTACAAGACTGATACTGATGCATAGGTTATATTATAATTTATTAGGTGTAGTTTTTTTGTACTACAAAATTGCTTTAAATTTTAACTTATCCTTCACAAAAAGATTTAAAAAAATATGTATATAATATATTAGACCTTAATCAATTTTCAAACAATATTTTGATTGCATCAATTAAACAATTATTTTTACAACACTGTTTTTAAGTATAGTTTATAGTCATTGTATTTGCATTTTTTAATTATCTTTGAGTGAAGTGTAAAGAAAATTTACCCACTTTAATTATATTTATAATAATCATATTATCGTGTAACCCAAATTTTTATTTTAAGATGTATACTTGTGTTTGCTTTTGGGGTAGAAAAAGTCCTCTTAATTTTATATACTTTTTAGTACCTTGTCATAAACGTTTTATAGATGGTACATTAGGGGTACAAAAATCAAATTTCATCATTATTATTATTTGTTTAATTATTTTTGATTGTTATTCAGAAATGTGTTAGTTATAATATAGGTAGTTAAATTTCCATATGACAAAGTCTCATCGGGGCTCAAAAAAAAATTTGAATTATATAGAATTTTGTTCAATAGAATTGAATACATTTGGTTTAGTTTCCAAAAATATTTACTGAACATTTTGTTAAATGGAAGTTTCACTGTATGTTTGTAAAGTCAATATCGATGGCGTAGCGCACAAGTGTGATAAGTGACATTTTTTTGAAAAATGAGTTAAGTGCATAATCAATTTAATCATACAATTCTGCACATTATGCCCAAACGTTGTAAGTGAATAGTTCATTATTTACTCCGATAGATGTCGTATAGTTTGTTACATTTTTGAATTTGTTATAACATCTCAAACTTAAAAATCGTTCTCCTGAACAATTACGAAAATGTCACTTATCACACTTGTGCGCTACGCCATCGATATGTAGTATTTTAAGATAAACCGAACAATTTGATGTAAAACATAAAATTAGGATCTACCTATAATGTAATTTTTTATTAATTATATTTATGTAACTATACATTAATAATTATAGAAACATTGAGTTTTGCTCATTATCGTATCAGTGAAAATTGAAAGCAATGAATACTTATTATTGCTATCAAATTTCAATATTTATATAATACTATGCTATTCTCCTTATCGCCCTACCTAACGATAGAAAAGTTCCTTAATAACTTTTTTGTGAAGTAAAAAATATGATCTGTCCCTACATATTTCTGGAAGAAAATGGTATACTTTAGGAGGTCAAAATATACATTACCTCTACTTATCCACAACATGTTTTTGACATTAAATATGTTAAGACTATTGTAGGTGTACAGGTATATAATATATAAGCAAAATTAAATAATTAGTCTTTAATTATTATTATAAACAAACAAATAAATAAACAAATATTAATGTATAACATGGAATATAAAGTATAAACTTATTATTATTATTTTTTTTTTTTTCAACCCGAAGGTTGGTTTACAACTCCAATTCTCCATTCTAACCGATTCCTCGTCTTTTCTTTGAGTTCTTTGAAGGTTTTGACTTTTGCACGATTTTAATTTGTCCTATATACGAGTTCCGCGGACGTCCTGCAGTTTTCTTTCCTTCTATCATACCCTCCAATATTATATTATGCAATTATTCCGGGTGTCTCAGGGCATGTCCAACCATTTTCCAGCGTCTTCCTCTAATAGCATCTATGAGTGTACGTTTTTCTCCCACTGTTCTAAGTACTTCTTCATTCGTTTTCCGCTCTATCCAACTTATCCGTTCCATACGCCTCCAGCACCACATTTCGAACGCTTCTAATTTTTTCTTTTCAGTATCATTTATTACCCAAGTTTCACATCCATATGTTGCAACACTCCATACATATGTTTTTATAAGTTTCTTCTTGATATTAAGATATATCTTTTTTGAAGTGAGCAACTTATGTTTTTTACTAAAGGAAATTTTTGCTAATGCTATGCGTTGTTTAATCTCGTGGACACTCTTGCCATCAGATGTGATTTTACTCCCTAGGTATACCATTTCTTCTACCTGTTCCAGTTTTTTATTACCAATGTATACATCAGCTTTTACTTTCGGGTCAGACTAAGATATTCGTTTTAGTACTATTTATTTTCATTTCTGATGTTCTGAGCATTTTATCCATTTCTTCAACTGCACGCTGTATATCACCTTCACTCTCTGCTATTACCACAATGTCATCAGCAAATCGTATCATTGAAACGATTTCTCCAGCAATTTTGATCCCAATATTTAATCTTGTTAGCTTTGCTTTCACAATATTTATAACTTTTTCGATGTAGCAGTTAAAAAGTGGTGGTGATAACGTACACCCTTGTCGGACTCCTTTTTTTATTTGAGCGTTAGTTGTGATTTCTCCTTTTTTAATGCAGGCTGTCTGGTTCTTGTACAGACTGTGAATGATTCGTAGGTCTTGTTGCTCAATACCTATTTCTCGTAGTACATGCAGCATCTTGTTCCAATTTACTTTATCGAAGGCTTTTTCCAGGTCTATGAAGGCCAAATATGTGATTTTATTTCTATCGATCTGTTTTTCAATTAGCACTCACAATCCTAAAATTGCTTCTCGTGTACCTTTTTGTCTTCTGAATCCATATTGGTCATTTTTTAAGTACTGTTCCACTTTTCCTCTATTCTTCGATTTGTTATTTTTGTTAGGATTTTTGAGACATGTGTCAGTAAGCTCAGTGTTCTAAACTGCTCACAGGAATTTGCTCCACTTTCCTTTGGTATAGTTACAATTATGCTTTTACAGTAATCGTCTGGCACATCTCCTTTCTCATATATATCCTGAGTTAGTTGGTATAAAGCATCCTTTATCTTTATACTAGCACATTGCAATAGTTCTGCTGTTGTGTTATCAGTCCCAGGAGCTTTATTTTGTTTCAAGTCATAGAGCGCTAACTCAAATTCTGATCTTAAGATGGATAGTTTTGTTTTTTCCTCATCTATTGTGATTTCCTCCAGTTTTTCTCCCTCATAAAGCTCCTCAATTTACTCTTTCCATCGATTTATTATGTTCTCATCATCAACTAATAATTGACCCATTTTTTCTCTGACATTAGTGAGATTTCGTTTTCTCTTTCCTACAAATTGTTGGATCTTGTGATACGCATAATCTATTTTGTTAGCTTTGAAAATTTCGTCAATTTCGCTACACTGCTGCTCCAGCCATTTTTCTTTTGCTTTTCTGGCTTCTCGATTAACCTGATTCCTTAGTTGACGATACTTCTGGTGTCCTTCTCTCGTGTTATTGTTTTTATATTTTCGTCTTTCATCTATAAGTTTTACTATTTCCTTGTCAATCCATGCTCTTCTGGGTTCTTTCTTTTCTTTTTTTGTTAGCACAGAATCCGCCGCTTTTTTAATAGCTGATTTTATGTTTCCCACTTTTTATTCAGTGGATCATCTACATTTTGTTTTTGGTATTCGATATCCATATGGCGCCATATTCTTCCACAACCTCCGCTCTCCTAAGTAATCTAACATTATAATTGTCTTGCTGTACTTTTTTTCTTTGTGGTTTTTTATATCAGAGTTCGCATTTTGCTATTACTATATTGTGATCACTGTCACAATCAGCACTCGAATATGTTTTGCAGAATTTAACTTGATTCTTAAATCGATTTTTTACCAGTATATAATCTATTTGGTAGCGGGCAATATCACCTGGCATTTTCCATGTATATATTCTTCTCTTAGGTTTTTTAATTTTGGTGTTTGTTCTAATCATTCCATTTCCTCTGCAAAACTCCACTACTCTTTCTCCTCTTGCATTTCTCTTACCTAAACCAAAGTCTCCGACTTCTCTACCTTCCCTGCCTTCAATAAGCTTATAACAAACAAATAATATTTACCTATGCTACTTTTTTTTTTTTAGCAGACGCCGTACCTTCCATATTTTTTCTTTTTTTGCAGTCAACTGAAAAATTGACTGCAGTACATGATCGTATACAAAAAAAACGTTCAACAATTCTTGTTTCATATTGCAACCTTTAGAGCACAATGAGAAAATTATATTAATATCTGATATAATTTTTTTAATAAGCTCAGTACACGAATTTCTTAAAAAAAACATTTTATATTTACTATATAAAATTTCACAATGTAAAATAAGCAACAATAAATTTGTACAAGACACTTTAAATCCTCCCTTATTCAATGTGTCACTTTAGAATTTTAAAGCGCCATAAAATTGGTTATCAGGCAAATTATCCTGAAGAAATAAACAACAATCATTACAACCAATTCCTAATAAATGATTTGTAATGCTCCCTCCTAAATGGTATAAATGGTTCAATTCGTATATTTCAAACTGGGAAATCAATTTACTTTTATCTAATTCGACAAATATTTCTGATGGAATGTTATACAAATTATTCATAGAAGAATATAAATGATTGCTTTCACATTGTGAAGCATTACTTTGTCCATGTTTTTTTTAAAAAACCAATTAGAAAAATATCATTGTCATTGCAATAGTTACTTCGATTCACATCTGAAATGAACTGAGACGTTGAAATAAGTTTTAGGGCCTTTAGACACTGAAAAGCTGTTGGTGTTGCTCCAGCTTTTCTCCTTATTTGAGAGAAAATATTCTCA